CAGGTGTCTTTGGCTTCCTGCCAGGGTCTCTGAGCCCCTGCCAGGGCTTTGAGACAACCAGGGCATCCAGAGGGATTAGATAATTGGCTACAATTAGATAATTGGCTTTAAGGCATCTGCAGCATGGCCTGGCCAAAGCTGACAGGCCAAGGAACACTTACAGTGTACTGGAATTAGGAAATAGCTTGTGATTGTGGTGGAGTGAATTATATCATCTGCACTGTCTCACCTTTCTCATGAGACTGAAAATGGAATCAAAGTTTTTAAAACACCTCTCAGATGCCCCATCTCTGGGTCAGAAAAAGGTATTTTCCAACACCAGAGGAGGGCTGGTCCTGCCATGGGGCTCTGTTACAGATCCCATCCTCAGGGCACCTGTCCTGCAGGTGAGCCGACCAGGGAGGCCTCTCCAGACTGCTCTTTGCCAATCAGGCTTTGTTCACAGCTTCCACGCTCTCAGGACACGCTGTTTAAGAAACATATTCACATTTAACGTGCTTAAATGTCTTTGTAAAAATATTACATGAGGAACCCTGACCCTCTCTGTGTAGTTTTGGAAAAACCTGCTGCTAACTGTGTTTAGGAGGGCAAAGGGTGCTGGGCCCGGGGCTGGAGGGGCTGTCCCCATCCACAGCCTGTCCTAGACTGCAAGGTAATGTGTGAATTCCATTTCCATCTGCCAGAGCTGGGGCAGTTATCTCTGTCCATGGGGCAGTTTTCTTTATCTCTCCCACAGCCAATCCTCCCTCCAGGAGATCTCTGCTCTTCATGGGACATTAATTATTAATTATCTGCTGTCCATGGCCACTGAGTGTCCCTGCATGGCTGATCAAATTCCATCATCCATGGGGAGATGCTCTGCCCAGGGCAGGAGCCAAGCATTCCTACCTGGATACAATCTGAGCCTGGAACAGCACAGCAGCCTCTGCCCCCTGCATTCCCAGAGGAGCAGCTTTCTCCTGCCCTGCATTCCCAGAGGAGCAGCTTTCTCCTGCCCTGCATTCCCAGAGGAGCAGCTTTCCCCTGCCCTGCATTCCCAAGGAGCAGCTTTCTCCTGCCCTGCATTCCCAGAGGAGCAGCTTTCTCCTGCCCTGCATTCCCAGAGGAGCAGCTTTCTCCTGCCCTGCATTCCCAGAGGAGCAGCTTTCTCCTGCCCTGCATTCCCAGAGGAACACCAGGCCCATCTCCAGCAGCCCTGGAGCTCCAGAGGAAAACTCCCCCCTTGTGCAGGATCCCTGCTCCAGCAGAAGCACAGCTGGCACTGCAGGAGGGCTGAGCCCCCATGGGATGGGGCTGTGCCACCACCCTGACCACAGGGCTCAGCTCCTAAACTGACTCTGCCAGTGGTTGTTTTGGTTTTTTGTACCACTGCATTTGCATTTTTAGTTTTCCTAGTAAAGAGCTGTTATTTCTATTCCCATATCTTTGCCTGAGCGCCCCTTAATTTTGAAATTACAATAATTCAGAGGGAGGGGGTTTGCATTTCCCATTTCAGGGGAGGCTCCTGCCTCCCTCAGCAGACACCTGGCTTTTCGCACGCAGCCCCAGCCCCAGGTGAGCACTTGGGGCTTAGCCTGGATTTTATCCCAGTTTGAACCGGGAGGGAGCGGGGTGGTTCCCACAAAACGCTGCTGGATGGCCACGCCAGCTCCACACGTGTCCAGCACACGGTGCTGATGGTGCTCACGGTGTCGGTGCTGCTGGCGGCTCCCGCGCTGGGTGCGGGTGTCCCGGCTGTCACTGACGGTCACACACGGTGTCAGCGCCGGTGCTGCAATCAGTGTCAGTGCTGGTACCGAGCGCCGGTGCCGGTATCAGTACCAGCGCCGCAATCAGTGCTAGTGCCGCTATCAGTATCTCTGCCGGTACTGGTATCGGTATCGGTACCGGTATCAGTGTCGGTGCCAGTGTCGGGATCGGTGCTGGTATCACTGTCTGTGCCAGTGCGGGCCCGTGCGACCACACAGCAGCAGGGCCGGTGCTGGTATCAGTGTCAGTGCCAGTGCCGGTACCGGTGCCGGTATCAGCATCAGCGCCGCAATCAGTGCTAGTGCTGCTATCAGTATCACTGCCGGTACTGGTATCGGTATCGGTACCGGTATCAGTACCAGCGCCGCAATCAGTGCTAGTGCCACTATCAGTATCACTGCCGGTACTGGTATTGCTATCAGTGCCGGTATCAGTGTCGGTGCCAGTGCCGGGATCGGTGCTGGTATCACTGTCTGTGCCAGTGCGGGCCCGTGCGACCACACAGCAGCAGGGCCGGTGCTGGTATCAGTGTCAGTGCCAGTGCCGGTACCGGTGCCGGTATCAGCATCAGCGCCGCAATCAGTGCTAGTGCTGCTATCAGTATCACTGCCGGTACTGGTATCGGTATCGGTACCGGTATCAGTACCAGCGCCGCAATCAGTGCTAGTGCCACTATCAGTATCACTGCCGGTACTGGTATTGGTATCAGTGCCGGTGCCGCTATCGGTATCACTGCTGGCACCGGTATTGGTGCCGGTATCAGTGACAGCGCCGGTGCCAGCCCACACGAGCGCACGGCAGCGGTGTCGGTGCCGGTATCGGTATCAGTGTCGGTGCCGGTATCAGTACCAGCGCCGCAATCAGTGCTAGTGCTGCTATCAGTATCACTGCCGGTACTGGTATCGGTATCAGTGCCAGTGCCGCTATCGGTATCACTGCAGGTGCCGGTATCGGTATCACTGCCGCTATTGGTATCAGTGCCGGTACCGGTGCCGGTATCAGTACCAGCGCTGCAATCAGTGCTAGTGCCGCTATCAGTATCACTGCCGCTACTGGTATCGGTATCAGTGCTGGTGCCGGTATCGGTATCACTGCCGCTATTCATATCAGTGCCGGTATCGGTGCCGGTGCTGCTGCCAGCCCGCACGAGTGCACGGCAGCGGTGTCGGTGCCGGTATCGGTATCAGTGTCGGTGCCGGTATCAGTACCAGTGCCGCAATCAGTGCTAGTGCTGCTATCAGTATCACTGCTGGTACTGGTATCGGTACCGGTGCCGGTATCAGTACCAGTGCCGCAATCAGTGCTAGTGCTGCTATCAGTATCACTGCTGGTACTGGTATCGGTATCAGTGCCGGTGCCGGTATCGGTATCACTGCCGGTACTGGTATCGGTATCAGTGCCAGTGCCGCTATCGGTATCACTGCAGGTGCCGGTATCGGTATCACTGCCGCTATTGGTATCAGTGCCGGTATCACCGTCGGCGCTGCTGCCGGCCCGCACGAGCGCATGGTAGCGGTGTTGGTGCCGGTATCAGTATCAGTGTCGGTGCCGGTATCGGTATCACTGCTGGCACTGGTATTCGTGCCGGTGTCGGTGTCAGTATCGGTATCAGTGCCGGTGCCAGCCCGCACGAGTGCACGGCAGCGGTGCCGGTGTCGGTATCGGTATCAGTATCACTGCCGGCACTGGTATTGGTGCTACTGTCGGTGCCGGTATCGGTATCGGTATCGGTGCCGGTATCGGTACCGACCCAGGCCCACACGAGCGCACGGCCGCAGCGGCGGTGTCGGTGCCGGTATCGGTATCAGTGTCGGTATCAGTGTCGGTATCGGTATCGGTATCGGTATCGGTACCGACCCAAGCCCACACGAGCGCACGGCCGCAGCGCCGCTGCCTGAGGGACCGCGGTCACGTGGGCCGGCGATCCCGTGACCGTGAGGGCGTGGCCGGGGCGGGCCCGCGCAGGCGCAGTGTCGCCCGGTAAGGGGGCGGACGCGGCCGGCGCTGCCGCCGCCATGAGCAGGGGCCCGGGGCTGGAGCCGGGCCCCCCGAGATCCAGGTGTGCCCCGAGATCCAGGTGTGCCCGAGATCCAGGTGTGGCCTGAGATTCAGGTGTGCCCGAGATCCAGGTGTGTCAGAGATCCAGGTGTGCCCAAGATCCAGGTGTGCCCCTAGATCCAGGTGTGCCCGAGGGCCAGGTGTCCCCCGAGATCCAGGTGTGCTCCGAGATCCAGGTGCGCCCGAGATCCAGGGGTGCCCGAGATCCAGGTGTGCCCGAGCTCCAGGTGTGCCCCCAGATCCAGGTGTGCCCGAGGGCCAGGTGTGCCCCGAGATCCAGGAGTGCCTGAGGGCCAGGTGTGCCCCGAGATCCAGGAGTGCCTGAGGGCCAGGTGTGCCCCGAGATCCAGGAGTGCCTGAGGGCCAGGTGTGCCCCGAGATCCAGGAGTGCCTGAGGGCCAGGTGTGCCCCGAGATCCAGGAGTGCCTGAGGGCCAGGTGTGCCCCGAGATCCAGGAGTGCCTGAGGGCCAGGTGTGCCCGAGGGCCAGGTGTGCCCCGTGATCTAGGTGTGCCCCGGGCTCCCCCGGAATCCAGCTGTGCCTGGGTCCCTGGTGGCCAGGTGTCATCTCTCTCTGCATCAGCAGCGCCCCTGGGCCGTGCTTTAAATCACCTGGGCAAGTACCTGGCCCCAGGTGTGCTGCTGTGCTCCTCCCACTCTCCCTGTCCGGGAGGAGGGGGCCGGGGGTGACACTCCTGCTGACAATCTGTGCTTTGCACTGCTTTAGTGAAAAATCCCTGCTGGTCTGCAAAAGGAGAAATGGACCAGGTGTGCCCGAGATCCAGGTGTGCCTGAGCTCCAGGTGTGCCCCTAGATCCAGGTGTGCCAGAGATCCAGGTGTGCCCCCGGGCTCCCCTGGAATCCAGCTGTGCCCGAGGGCCAGGTGTTCCCAAGGGCCAGGTGTGCCCCGAGATCCAGGTGTTCCCAAGGGCCAGGTGTGCCCCGAGATCCAGGTGTGCCCAAGGGCCAGGTGTGCCCGAGATCCAGGTGTGCCCCCGTGCTCCCCCGGAATCCAGCTGTGCCCGGGTCCCTGGTGGCCAGGTGTCATCTCTCTCTGCATCAGCAGCGCCCCTGGGCCGTGCTTTAAATCACCTGGGCAAGCCCAGGTGTGCTGCTGTGCTCCTCCCACTCTCCCTGTCCGGGAGGAGGGGGCCGGGGGTGACACTCCTGCTGACAATCTGTGCTTTGCACTGCTTTAGTGAAAAATCCCTGCTGGTCTGCAAAAGGAGAAATGGACACTGCAGGTGAACCTTTGCTTCAGCGCTGCCTTTCCTGCCTCAGAACACCTGGAAGGCAGAGGGAAGGTGACACAGGGAATCTGAGGGAATCTGGAGGGAAAACCCCAAACAAAGGTGTTGTTTTGTGTTGTGCTCCCCGCAGCTCCGTGCTGACCGTGGCCTGTGAACAGACCGAGGTGCTGCTCTTTGACCCGATCTCCTCGAAGCACATCAAGACCCTCTCTGAGGCTCACGAGGACTGTGTCAACAACATCAGGTGGGGCAGGGGGGCGTGCTGGCACAGCTCAGCCCGTGCTCAGGCACTGTGGGGTAAATCTCACTCCGCCACTTTTATGGGATAGGGCTGGAAATAGCAGGAGCAGAGCTCCAAACCCATCACTGGTTTTGTCATGTAGCGTTTTTCCATCCAAATTCAGGGGTTTTAAGTCGTTCTGGTTCTGGGAATACGTTTTGAGGTGTGATTTTAAGGTATCTTCTGACAATACTGCAGCTGCTCTTCACTCCGATTCTCAAAGGAAAAAAATCCACTCCAAAACCCCAAAACAACAACCCATACACAGCAGCAAAAAACTTCAACCCAGAACTGAACCCAGGCTGAAAACCCCAAGAAAATTCTGAGTGTTTTTTCACTCAGAAGAGCCAGATCTGATGTGGGGTGCAGTGTCCATCAGATAAAGTGGTGTTTTCCACAAGCTGGTTGTCCTTTTTACAAAGGACTGATGTTTTACATCAGCTGGCTGTGTGTCAGGAAAGGGGATTAACACAGACATTAATATGTGTGGCACAAAGGAGCTGACCTCTGGAGCCTCAGAGTTCATGAGCAGGACTGCAGGCACTGCAGGAGTTCCTTGTGGCCAGCACCAAAACTGCTTGCAGTTTGCCAGAATTTGGGATTTTTCCCGCGACAGCTGGTTGCTGTTGCTGCCTTGTGTGGCCAGCACCAAAACTGCTTGCAGTTTGCCAGAATTTGGGATTTTTCCGCGACGGTTGCTGTTGCTGCCTTTGCGCAGCTCTGGGCCTGAATTTGGATGGGGGTTTTGTTCCTTTTACCTCAGGGAGGGCTTTTCTCAGTGCAGTGCCTCCACTGAGTTCCAGACAGGAGCCAGCGTGCCCTGTCCTGAAGCTGGGGTGGTGCTCACCTTTGCTCTGCACAGTGCTGGCTCAGGGATTCCATCCGTTCCCTTTCCCACTGAGCCGCCTCACCTGTGTGCTCAAACAAGGTCTGGCCCTCCCTCAGAGCTTTTGGAAAGCCTTGCCTTGCCTTCAGGAGCCTGTTCATTCCTTTGGTTTCCTAGCTGTGCTGCTGCCAGCCCCCGCCAGCTGGGTGCTGTGCACAGGGGAGCAGACTGAGTTGCCACGGGGGTTCTCTCTGGTGGTTTGGCTCCTGTGTGGCCGGCACACAATTCACCGGCACACAAACCCCCTAAAAAACCCCAAACCAAACTTGTGCTGTGCCTCTGTATTTGCTCGTGTGCTGCTGCAGAGGTGCTGCTGGTTCATGCCCCAAGCAGCTCTGCTTGCAGCACTGCTGCTGGCACTGCTCTGCTGAGCTCAGAGGGGTTTGTGTGCTGCTCTGGTGTCTCTCTTTTGGCTAGTGGCTGGTTCAGGGAGGTTTTTGGGCCGCTCTGGTATCTCTGCTTTAGCTAGTGGCTAGTTCAGGGGGTGTTTGGGCTGCTCTTGTTGGCTGGTTCAGAGAGGGTTTGTTTGTGCTGCTCTGCTATCTCTGTGCTGGCTAGTTCAGAGGGGGTTTGGGCTGCTCTCGTTGGCTAGTTCAGAGGGGTTGGTTTGGGCTGCTCTGGGGTCTCAGTTTTGGCTAGTTCAGAGGGGGTTTGTGCTGCTCTCGTTGGCTAGTTCCGAGGGGTTGGTTTGGGCTGCTCTGGGGTCTCAGTTTTGGCTAGTTCAGAGGGGGTTTGTGCTGCTCTCGTTGGCTAGTTCAGAGGGGTTGGTTTGGGCTGCTCTGGTGTCTCAGTTTTGGCTAGTTCAGAGGGGTTTGTGTGCTGCTCTGCTATCTCTGCTGGCTGGTTCAGGGGGATTTGTTTGTGCTGCTCTGCTACCTCTGTGCTGGCTAGGTCAGGGGGGTTTGTTTGGGCTGCTCTGGTGTCTCTCTTTTGGCTAGTGGCTAGTTCAGGGGGTTTTTAGGCTGCTCTGGTATCTCTGCCTTAGCTGTTGGCTCGTTCAGGGGGTTTTTAGGCTGCTCTGGTATCTCTGCCTTAGCTGTTGGCTCGTTCAGGGGGTTTTTAGGCTGCTCTGGTATCTCTGCCTTAGCTGTTGGCTCGTTCAGGGGGTTTTTAGGCTGCTCTGGTATCTCTGCCTTAGCTGTTGGCTCGTTCAGGGGGTTTTTAGGCTGCTCTGGTATCTCTGCCTTAGCTGTTGGCTCGTTCAGGGGGTTTTTAGGCTGCTCTGGTATCTCTGCCTTAGCTGTTGGCTCGTTCAGGGGGTTTTTAGGCTGCTCTGGTATCTCTGCCTTAGCTAGTGGCTAGTTCAGAGGGGGTTTGGGCTGCTCTGGTGTCAGTTTTGGCTGGTTCAGAGGGGCTTTGGGCTGCTCTTGTTGGCTGGTTCAGGGGGGGTTTGTTTGTGCTGCTCTGCTATCTCTGTGCTGGCTGGTACAGAGGGGTTTGTTTGGGCTGCTCTGGTGTCTCAGTTTTGGCTAGTTCACAGGGCGTTTGTTTGGGCTGCTCTCGTTGGCTGGTTCAGGGGGTTTTTGGGCTGCTCTGGTATCTCTCTTTCAGCTAGTGGCTAGTTCACAGGGGGTTTTGGGCTGCTCTGGTGTCTCTCTTTTGGCTAGTGGCTGGTTCAGGGAGGTTTTTGGGCCGCTCTGGTATCTCTGCTTTAGCTAGTGGCTAGTTCAGGGGGTTTTTGGGCTGCTCTGGTGTCTCTCTTTTGGCTAGTGGCTAGTTCAGAGGGGTTTGTTTGGGCTACTCTGGTCTCAGTTTTGGCTAGTTCAGAGGGGGTTTGTTTGGGCTGCTCTTGTTGGCTCGTTCAGGGGGTTTTTGGGCTGCTCTGGTGTCTCTGCCTTAGCTGTTCCCTGGTTCAGGGGGTTTTTGGGCTGCTCACTGTCCTGCTAGCCCGCTGGCCGCGCAGGGCACGCTGAGGCCGTTCCCTGCTGGCAGGTTCCTGGATAACCGGCTGTTCGCCACGTGCTCCGACGACACCACCATCGCGCTCTGGGACCTGAGGAAGCTCAACAGCAAGGTGTGCACGCTGCACGGCCACACCAGCTGGGTCAAGAACATCGAGTACGACACCAACACCAGGCTGCTGGTCACCTCGGGCTTCGACGGCAACGTCATCATCTGGGACACCAACAGGTACGTGGCTGCAGCACACCTGCACCAGGTGCACCTGCACAGGTGCTCCACAGCGGTACACCAGCCTTCTGTGCCTCCCAGAGCGGGCCTGCAGTGTGTTCTGGAACACTGGCACCGGTTCATAGCCCTTGCCAAGAGCTTGCATCACCTCTCTGGCAATAGTAAATGGCTGGAAAGGAGCTTCTCTTGCTGCCGTGCCAGAACATAGCTCTTCCTCCCAAGGAAGGTTCTGTCCCCATTGCTGTAGTTGAGGGAAGATGTGACTTCACCCATTCCATTAAAAAGTAGGATCAAGGCAGTGCTTCTAAAAAAGGTTTTGGGCACGTCCTGGGCCTTTGTGGACACACTGAGGGCCTGGATCTGGAGCTGACCACAGCCCCTCCTGTGCTTGTCTTGCTGTCCAGGTGCACGGAGGATGGATGTCCCCACAAGAAGTTTTTCCACACCCGTTTTCTGATGCGAATGAGGCTGACTCCAGACTGTTCCAAAATGCTGATCTCCACCTCCTCTGGTTACCTTCTGATTTTGCACGGCCTTGACCTAAACAAGTCTTTGGAGGTTGGCAGCTACCCGATTTTACGAGCCAGGAGGACCACGTCGAGCTCAGGTGAGTGCTGGTGGGGCGTGGCAGGGGCTGTGGGGCTGTGGGCTGTTCTCTGGGCTGCTCCTGGCCAGCAGCCCAGGTGTGCTGGGCTACCTGTGGGCTCACCTGTCTGGTGTGTTTGCAGACATAACGTCGTCGGGCTCCTCTGGCCCTCGAGCTGCGGGCTCGCCCTGTCACCAGAACAACTCTGGGCCGCCCTCTGAGAAAACCTTGTCACGGCCCTCCCAGCGAGAAGGTAGGAGAAGATCACTGGAAAAAGACAAATGAAAAGAAATCCTGGACTTTGATTTACTGTATCCAAAAGAGGCCAGGGTACAATAGTGAAAGGCTGCTTTTTTGTCCTGTGGTTCTTAAAAGAATGGTGTTGCTGAGACTTGTATTAAACCGATAAAATCTCATTGCACACCAAAGCTTGGGGATCTAATCAGGTTTTATGTCCGAGAAATCTGGTGAGAGTACAAGATCTGTATTTTACGTCAATATGTTGTTGTTACACATAGGTGCTCCCTTTTCCTTATGTTTTTCCATGAACAAAATTGGTGTGAATGATCTTTTAGGGAAAAATCCAGAGAACCAGCATGAATTTGGCAAATGGGTGCATACTTTGTGCACCCCTTGCAATTTCAAAGACATATAATGTTAATTTTTAGCTACTCGTGGTTGTGAGATCCTGGAACATACTGCTGAGAGGAGGCTCACCTGCATGCCAGGGAGTGATTTACCCGGGGGTGAGGGGAAGAAGGGAGAAAAGCTGCAAGCTGAACAAGTGTTGGGAGGAATTTGGGGAGCACATTGTACGAGTGTGAGAATCAGCAGTTCTTAAAGAAGCCTCACTCTTTAGATGTTTCTGTAATACTAATGAGGAGCATAAGTGTGGAGGGTTAGTGTAGTCGTCAGTGTGGTGGGTTCAGTGCAGGTCTTGTCACTCAGGTTTCATTAAAAACGAGCTGTTTGCAGTGGGGGCTGAGCCCAGGGGTGTTGGCTCGGGGTTCCTGTGACCCCCTGAGTTTCCCTGCCCTGACAGTGCAGTCTGTCCTGGCAGCCACAGGTGTGGCCCCATTTCAGCAGCAGCACTGGTGGGAGAGGTGGAGGTCAATGTGTGGGTTTCACCCAGACTCACAGTTAATTCCCTCGCAGGGGGATCCCCTAGGAATAGCCTTGAGGTGTTGACACCAGAGGTTCCTGGAGAAAGAGACCGTGGGAACTGCATCACGTCGCTGCAGCTGCACCCCAAGGGCTGGGCCACGCTGCTGCGCTGCTCCAGCAACACAGATGACCAGGAGGTAACACCCTGCTCGTGCTCTTCTTTCAAATTTTGGGTTTTGTTCTGAAATTACCCTCCTGGCAGAACCTGCTTCAAGCCTTGTCCTTGGTGCAGGAAGTCGTAAGACAGCTGCAGTTCAGCTGCAAGCTGCGGGATCTGCTCCTCTAACTTGACCAACAGCAGACAGTAGTACTGCACCAATAATGAATGTTTTAGTTACTTTGCTGATGTAAATTGAGGTTCATTGGTTTTGGTGGGACTTTTTTTGTCTCTGTGTATTTATTTGGGATTTTTTTGTTGAAGAAAGTCTCTCTTTCTAATGGTAGCCCTTTACACAAGTGTAGAGAATTGAGTGGCAGCTTAGCAGATTGGTTATTAATTTTCATGCTGGTTCTGCAACAATCAAACTGCTACACAACACAGAATTATTGTAACATGCAAAGTGTTACATTGGGTCAGTCGGTACTGATGATTGACTATAATTTCTCTTAGTCCTAGAGTCTGCCTTACTCTCTTTTTGTAATATTCATTGGTATTTTTCACGTCGTGATTGAGTCAGAAGGATGTATGAAACACAGCTAGGAATGTTTGTCTTGGGGCTGAAGTGGAATCAACACAATATAAACTTTGTCATTGATTATTTTTTTTACATTTGTTCTGAGATTAAATAATGAGATGACAGACAGGAATCCTTAATGTGTCTCACAAATAACAAAGTGGCTGCAGAGCTGTTCATAACCTTCCTTCAAACATCTGTTACCCACTTGCCTCAAGATTACATTCCTTTTGGAGTCAAAGGCATAAAATGCCAGTGATCTGCTCTGGGGTGCAGTCAGCTGAATCTGACTATGGATTTAATTTAAATATTTACTAAAGTAGAGCAGGTGCCTGGCCACAGGATCAGGCTGTGCTCTCTGCAGATGAAACCTAGATTGGAAAGATTATAATCTAGCAGCCATTTAATCAGAGTGGCAGCTTTAGTGCTGGGCAGCTGCTTGGCTGGGGTGGTTCACAGGGAGGGAGGTGCTGAGGCAGGGGCCCGCTCGGGGTGCTGGTTGAGGAGCAGCTCATCAGGAGCATCTCCCTCCTGTGCCATTACCTGTTCACACGAGCTGCTGTCACCTGTAGAGCCGCAGGGGGAGGGAAATGTGCGTTTGCAGTGCCTGACTTCTCTTTCAGTGTCCCTTTCTCTGCCTCTCCCTTTAGTGGACTTGTGTCTATGAATTCCAGGAAGGAGCCCCGCTGCGCCCCGTGTCGCCGCGCTGCTCCCTGCGCCTGACGCACTGCATCGAGGAGGCCAACGTGGGCCGGGGCTACATCAAGGAGCTCTGCTTCAGCCCCGACGGCCGCATGATCTCGTCCCCGCACGGCTTCGGCATCCGCCTGCTGGGCTTCGACGCGCACTGCAGCGAGCTGGTGGACTGCCTGCCGCGGGAGGCCAGCCCCCTGCGCGAGATCCGCTCGCTCTACTCCCACAACGACGTGGTGCTCACCACCAAGTTCTCCCCCACGCACTGTCAGATCGCCTCGGGGTGCCTTAGCGGGCGCGTCTCCCTCTACCAGCCAAAGTTCTAGCGCGGCGGCCGGGCGTTTCTGCAGCCCAGTGGAAGTGTGCTCTCTGCAAACCCTCTGAGCCCACGGCCCCGCCAGCAGAGCTCTGCTCCTGCTGGTCCCTGCTGTGTTTGTGCCCTGGGACTTGATTGTTTCCTTCAGCACAGCTCCAGCCGGCTCTTTGGAGCAGGGGCGGGGTGCCCAGCTGCCTCCTGTGCCACAGCAGCTGGACTGCCACACCTCTGCTTCCTCTTCTGTCGCTGAAGCAACTCTGTGGTGATCACTAGATAATGGACTGCTTGTCTGTGTAAGCAACACGGTTAGTTACCAAAAACAAAGTACCAGAAAAAAAAAAAAAAAGGAAAGAGGAATTTTACTTTCATTTCCATGTTAATGCGGTTGCAGTGTGGCTTAGGCTGGCAGGGACCACTGGAGGTCACCCAGGCCCATCCCTGCACAGGCAGGCTCCCCTTGAGCCACCACCCAGCACTAGGGAGGACCCTGGCCCAGAGCATCTCTCTGGGTTCGTGCACCAGGGCAGCTCTGGCCCCTCCTCTGCCAGGTGTCTCTTGCAGGGGGCTGTCAGTGTCTGAATCATGGTGGCTTTTTGCTGATGTTTGGGTATTTCCCACTTGGCTGTTTTTCCACACACACACCTGGCCTGCACTCTGCCTGTGGGGGAAATTAATTTGGATGTGTCCCTAATATCGCCAGGTGAGCCTTTCTTCACATGTGCTGTCAGTTTGGGAGGGGATTAAAAGCAAACCTGTCACCAGTGGGATCTGCCTGGATCTAACCAGGCTTATCATCAGGTGTGGAGCACTGTGATGATCACCCTGGTGACAGGGTCTGCAGGGGAAGCTGTATGAGCAGCAGCTGAGATCTCTTGGTTTGTTCAGCCTGGAGTAGTCTGAGATGAGATCTCCTGGTGCTCCTGAACATCCTCCTGTGGGGCAGTGGAGGGGCAGGTACCGATCTCTTCGGCTCTGGGACAGGGACAGGAGCAGGGCAGGCTGGGGCTGGCACAGGGGAATTGGGGCTGCAGATCAGGGAAGGTTCTGCTTGCCCCAGAGGCTGCTGGCACTGCCCAGGCTGCCCAGGGAATGCCAGAGCTCCAGGAGAGCTTGGACAGCACTCCAGGGATGCCAGGTGGGGCTGTTGGGGTCTGTGCAGGGCAGGGGTGGCACTGCCTGATCCTGGGGGTCCCTCCCAGCTCAGGGGATTCTGTGGTCACACCCAGAGTATGAATGCCAGATTTCAGCCCTTGAGTTACAGAACTAACCTTGTAAATGCACAGGTATTGTACATCCATATCAGTTCATAACATTCTCATCACTTATATGTCCCAAGATGAGGGATTTTAGTATTTCACTGAAGTTTTGCAGACTAGTCACACACTCAGTTCAGCAGGGAACTTTACCTGAAAGGACTGTCACCTGCTGGTGTTCAGGTACACTGGCTCAGCAGAGCACACTCGTTCAAAGCTGACTCTTACAAAGCCTTTTGCAAAACGTATTTGGGGATAAAGACAACATTTATGGACGTGAGAGAGCTGGAAAGGTAAGCCTGAGGACCCTCCTGTAGCTTTGTATTTGTGTGGGTAGTATACCCTGGTATTGGTGCAGAAATCATTGAAACTTAGGCCTCCTCTGCATTATGAGAGAAGAAAATCCCAAGTTTCCTCCTGGAGAATTTATTTGGTAGTAAGAAGCCTTCGGTTTTGTGTGTTAGGTAATCTGAGGGCAAACATCCCTTCTGCTGGCCTGAGCCTGCACGTGGGGCAGGTGGGTCTGCTGGGTTGTGGGAGCACTCAGGGCACCTCCTGGCTGTGGTTCATCACCTGGGAGTGCAGTGTGCAGGAAACCTGGGGACAAGCGTGGCCTGCAGGATTTTTATGCAAAGGAAGAGCTACAAGGAGTTGGTATGGGCCAAGCTGTTTGGGGAAAAAAAAAAACCCAGGTCCTGCCCAGGACCACAGCAGCTTTTCCCCAAGCACTGGCTGTCCCACTGCCAGGCTACTGTTTCCTCAGCTTATTTAATGTTTTATTACACATCATGGAAGGGACTACAGGGACATTTGAGAGAACCTTGGCGTTCTCACGGGCTTGCACATGTTTGTGTTGGAGGTGAAGGAGCACCCATGGGACCGGGGTGGTGCCTGGGTGGGCCTGTGTGTGTTTCCAAGGCTGCTTTTGTTTTCCTGTCAGCACCTCCTCAGACTGGTGGATCCCTGGTGACTGTAACGCTATGCCTGTGAATATGCACTGAGTGTTACCTTTTTAATTCTACCTCATGATACGCTGTGTTTTACACCAGTATTGTGCTGAGCTTTGGACACTCACCTTTCTGTACAGAGGACCATGACCCCCAAGTGACAGATGTGTGACAGATGTGTGACAGATGTGTCACTGCTCCTTGGTAGCACCTGTGGGTGGCCCTGCCTGGCTCCGGGACCGGCAGCTCACCTGGTGGAGGGGTTTGGTCACCTTGATGCTTTTGTAGCGTGTCCAGCAGATGCATAAAATGACAGAATCTGTACATGTATGCTGTAGAAATGTTACTTAGTTTTTCTGATGACATTTGTAATAAGTTTGAATTAGAGTAAGTAGGTAGTCTTAGATTTTGGTCATTCGATTGATTGCTCCTTTTCAACAAAAACCTGGAGGCTCTCCATGAAGGTTTTGCCATGTTTTACCTGTGAAGTTCACTTCTCAGTGGCTTACAGCTGACACGCCTCACGGTCATGTGGTGGTGCAAGTGTTTTCAGTTCTCTCTCAGTAGCATTCCTGAAACAACGACATTATGCGTAGCTGAGCTTTGGGTTATTTCTAGGTAGTCAAACAAAAAAGCTTATCTTCTAGCTGTGTTTCAAAAGTCTCGACCTCGAGAAGTGTATAAAACTGTGAAACAACTGCAAGGAAACATTTCCAAGGGAGATGAAGGGCGGGGGCGGCTGTGCCCTGGGTGAATTCCACGGCGTTTGGCGGCGCCGGAGCTCGGTGCGCGGTGGCTGCTCCCGGTGTGCCCGGTGTGCCCGGTGTGCCCGCGGAGCCGGGGCGGTGCCGGGGCCGGTTCTCCCCAGCCCGGTGTGCCCGCGGAGCCGGGGCAGTGTCAGGGCCGGTTCTCCCCGGCCCGGTGTGCCCGGTGTGCCCGCGGAGCCGCGGCGGTGTCGGGGCCGGTTCTCCCCGGCCCGCTGTGCCCGGGTCACGCAGGGACGGCACCGCCACACCATGGGGATAAAGGAAAAGCACAGCGGTGCCGACACACACACACACACACAGAGGATTGTTTGCACTCGTGGAATCTCGGGGTAAGGACAGCTGGATGCCTACTACCAGAATTAGAATGTAAACATCAGTTTTTTTCGGGGGGCGGGGAGGGCTCTCGGTTAATTGTGTGGGGTTTGGTTTTGTTTGTTTGTTTGTGTTGTGATTTTAATTTGGGTAGCACTGATGTGGAGAAGGTTCTGACATCGTAATGCATGGGTCTGTTGCTCTAGGACATATAAACTCCTAGGAAAAAGAAATACACTTGCCAAATGAAAGCTTTCAAAACATTTAGTTTACAAGATTGTAACAGTTGGACAGAAAGGAAGAAGTCAACGACCCATCTTGTTTTTAACCTGCAGGAAACAGAAACTTCTCATTGGCTGATCTTAGTCAAAGGTGCATTTTCTAAAGCACTAATATCCTCAGTAAGTATAAGGTTTTTAATACAGAAACAAATTGTGCATGTAGAGTATTTTGAAATACCTGAGATTTCATAGTAAAGACTGTAGCCTTTTAATACCGTATATGAAGTATCAGAACTGCTTTGGAAGTATTGTACTTACAGCCGTACAGTAACTTACTGTTTGTGGACAGTTTCTCTTGCTTGCATAATAAACATTTAATAATTCACTGAATCGAAGTGTCTTTTATTTATGTTAAAATGAGCCATGCTGGCTCTTGCCTGCCCCTAAAATTAAGAGGAAAACCACTTCCTAGCGCTTAGACGCTGCCATTCACAAGTGTGTGTGTCACAGTGCTTTTAAGTTAAATTTTTCTCAAAGTGAGATATGAAGAGTCAAAACTGACTCTGAACCTCAGACCCAGGGCTCCACTATTTCATTTTTGCTGGGGTAGTTGTGCACTACCCAGCTCTGGGCCTGTGCCAACCCCTCACCCTCAGCACTTTGGCTTCCCTGACAGTACAGGAGCACATAACACCTTCCACAGAGAAATGGGATGCAGATTTTGTTTTTATTCCATCAAGGAGTGATTACAAAAAGAAGGTACACTGGTAAAAATCAGATTCTGCCAGTAACAAACATCCAGTAAACATTTTATTTAGATGAAGATAATCACCACTGGGATACAGGAACTCGTGCTTGTGCCCACCCGCTGCTGTCTGAAGCTCAGGACTGTATGATTGCAACACACTGATTAGGATCAATTTCGGAAGACAGTTTTAGCAAATGGGAAACTCAAATTCAGAAAAGCAATAGCCCCTCCAAGACTTAAGAAAAGACTAAATTCAAAGCAGTTTCTGAAAGCTTTGCTGCTCCCCATCGTCCAGCGTGTTTTGGTTTATCTGTGAATGTACAGTTTCATTAAAGAAGAAGCCCTCAGGGAGATTCCAACACTTTTGTTGGGACCCTCATCTAGCTCAGGGTTGTGCTCAATCTTCTGTCCCTGTACTAAAGCCTCAAGTCTCCCTCAACTCCTGTCTGTCAGACACAGATTTCTGTCAGTCCTTTCCTACGTTTGCCTACAGAAGTCCTGAAACACGTCTCCAAGCACTCCACCCTTCCTGCTCCCTGCTCCCAAGGTCATCTTTGGCTTGTCATCCCCACTACACCTACAGACCTCCACTGAAGCAGGTAACCCAGGACTCTCACCTTGCCCGTGCAGAACCATGAGCAGAACACACCAAGCGGGCAGAACCCCGAGTTTTGGGTACAAACATCCCGTGATGGGTAACTCCGCAGAGGGAGCTGAGGAAAGACAAGACGTGGCAGTGCAAAAAGCCGTGTGAGAAGTGCTTGAGCAGCTGCAGGAGCTGGAGTGCCCCTACAGACAGGGACACCTCCCCGACCCTGCAGCTGGAGGCAACACAAAAAGCAGCAATTAAAAAACAGGAAGTCCTCAGAAAAAGCAGAACAAACTCGGTGTTTTTTAACGAGGAAGGACACTTTAAAGCTGTAGTGAGTTTGCTGTCCCATTCCTTCCACTTTTCCCTTTTCACAGGAAGGCACACGTACGAACACGCACACACACACACACAGAGATCCAGCCGGGCTGAGGCCACACCCTCGGTGCCACGGCTGAGGACACAGTCACCACAGGCCACCCCCCGAGGTGCCTGCAGCACGCTGAGGTGCAGTGGGAGCTCTGCACTTCAGTCATCCCCTTCGGTATCTGTCCTTTGAGCTTTACGCAATGAGGACCCCAAAACATCTGAAAACGCAGTTCCAAAATCGAGACTGGGAAGATGATCAGGCAATGGAATTGTTTTTCTTCAGCTCCTCCTTGATTCTCCCGTTCTAAACATGGGCAGTGGAGTTCACCCCACCACAGAGCATAGCAATTTTGGGAGTGATAGACTACACTTCTTTCCTCTTTTACACCTTGTGTTTGTCTGGTAGCTCTGTGATGGGTAAACTCACCTGCCAGCAAAGGAATACTTTAAGAAGTTCATCATAATTGCACCAAGGTTTAAATGCATCACCATTCACCCCATAAATATGCAAGGCTGGGAGGAATTACCTGTCACATGCACAGGCAGTGCTCCCTGGGACCGAGGAGGCCGAGTGCTGCTGCCCCACGAGCGGGACGGGGTCACAGCAGCTTCAGCAGGAACTCGTAGGTGGCGTTGATGATCCCCCAGGACAGCACGGAGCGGTGGTAGTTCAGGTGGGCTCCCCTGAAGAGGTGCATCACCTTCCTGTCGCGCTCCAGCCAGATCTTCACTAACACTTTGGAGAAGGACTGGAACTCGCCGCCAATCTGAGCCTGCATGCGAGTCTTTACGACGTTGACGGGGAAGAACAGGAAGCCCAGCATGGCTCCCAGCAGCCCCCCGCAGATGAAGTCGTTGACCAGGTGAGAGCTGTGCGAGGTGGCCTCGGGCAGGCACTGCTTGATGGGCCCCCTCAGGCCGAAGAAGAGCACGTTGCTGGGCCCGTTCCGCAGCAGAACGGGCACCAATCCCCTGTAATACTCCCGCAACCCGTAGGCTTTCAGCACCCTGAAAGCCTGGTAAGTGTTTGTGAACCTGTCGTGGTGCCTGTAGTCCTGCAGCAGCGTCTGCACGCGCTCGAAGGGCGTCAGCACGGCCTCGGCGGTGCCGGCCAGCGCGGCGGCCGCGCTGCGCGTCAGCAGCTCGGGGGCGCGGCCGTGGCTCAGCAGCAGCGCCGAGAAATCCTCGTAGAGGCCGAACATGAGGGCCAGCGTGGTGGTCTTCTGCAGCAGCGGGGGCAGGATGCCGCGGTAGAGCGTGCGCAGCCCGTCGCGGCGCAGCTGGCGCACGGCCTCGCCGGCGCGCAGCCCGTAGAGCTGCTGCCGGAACAGCACCTTCTGGATGGGGAACGTCACCGCGATGTTGGTGAAGGCCGCGCACAGCCCGCACACGTAGTGCTTGCCCGAGGAGCCCACCGCCTCCTCGGCGGCCGCCAGAGCCATGGCGGGGGTGCCCCGCGCCTCAGGGAGAGCCGCGCTGGCGCCGCGGCGTCACCCCAGCACCCGCCGGACAACGGCGCGAAGGGCCAGGGCTGGCACGGGCTGGGCCATTGCTGCTCACAGCCAGGCCAGCACAGGAAGCAGCACTTCCTCCCCTCTGTGCTGTTCCCAAGTCAAAGAGAAAGGAATCCCCCTGGAATTACAAATACCGAAACGCTGTGTGAACAAGAGAGAGGCTGGGCAAAAAGCGAAGCTGCACCAAACGCGGGCAGCAGCATCACAAAAGCTGGCCCTGTGGCACAAAGCACGGGGGTAACACTGCAGCTGAGCACCACCACAGGTGCCACTCGGGCGTGGCTCCACTGGCACGGCGCAGAAACTCAGCACAAGTCCCAGCTCAGTGCCTCCTCTGCATCAGCCCCACGCTCTGCTGACAAGTTTCACCAGTGGATTTGGCTAGGCCCAGGGTCCTGAGGGATGAGGACAGAGGCAGCTTGGCCAGACAGTCTGAAGGAGGACCGCAGGGATCTTCACCTGGCAAGCCCTGTTGGACAGAAGACGGAGATTATTTATTGAACAGTCACAAAAAGATGCTCCTGCAGGTGCCCCAATCCCACCCTCACCCACAGAAAGCAACAGCCCTGTGAGGCTGGGCTGCTCCCGAGCCTCACACCCTGCCCAGCGCCGGCAGCACACAGGAGATCCCAGGATCCAAGGGGTGTCTGGGGACAGCAGCCCTGCCCGGCACGAGGAGGCGAGAAGGGGGGAGCAAAAGGAAAGGACGGAGAAAGGAGCTGGACGAAACAGGAGCAGAAAAGGGAAGGAAGATCAACCCCGCGGGGAGGAAGGCAGAGAAAGGACGGGGAAGGAACGGGAGGGCCGTCTGCTGTGCGAGGCTCCCGCTGCCGGTGCTGCGAGCCGTGTCTCCGTGGCGGGCAGGCCCCGCGCAGCCGGGGCGGCGGCAGCAGCGGGGTCCCGGCAGGCCCCGGCGGGGCCTCCCCGCTCCCCGCCCCATGCCCCGGTGCCCACCGGCACCCCCGCAGTGCCCGCCGATCCTTCTGTGGCTTCCATAGAGTCCCATTTTTCTAATAGTTCACCTAGGGGGCTTTGGGGGGCTATATTCCTCAGTCTCTGGCCACTTTTCTTACTGGTGCACCCTCTCATATTTTTGCCTCAAAAAAAAATCACAAAGATGTCTTTACCCTAAGGAAATGTATCTTATTTAAGAAGTCCCAGCCTCCTCTGCCAAAACTCCAATTTCTCCTTTTCGTCAGGACTTTGTTGAGATCTCAGCCTCTCGCTGACTCAACAAACAAACCAAAAACCCTCGAGCCCCTGGCCTCTGGGGTTGTCTGTCTGACCTCCCTTGTCAGGACTTAAGAGAGATCTCGGCCTCCCTTGCCGAGACTCACCCAGTAACCCAAAAATCCTCGAGACCCTGGCCTCTGAGGTTGTCTGCCTGACCTCCTTTGTCAGGACTTTGTTTGCCTGCAGGGCTTTTAGACTCGCCCGAATCCTTCTCGGGACCTGTAGATTTGCCCGAATCCTTCTCGGGACCTGTAGATTTGCCCGAATCCTTCTCGGGACCTGTAGATTTGCCCGAATCCTTCTCGGGACCTGTAGATTTGCCCGAATCCTTCTCGGGACCTGTAGATTTGCCCGAATCCTTCTCGGGACCTGTAGATTTGCCCGAATCCTTCTCGGGACCTGTGACTTTCTTGTCCGGACCTTAAAACACTTGAGATAAGGCTTCCTCTGCCAGACCTCGTGCCTGACCTCCTTTGTCAGGACCTACAAAGAAAACTGCCTGATTACCTAAATGGCCTAACTTCCTTCGTTAGGACCTGTACCAGGGCTTTTGGGGTGCGTGCCACTCACACAACTATTTCCTCCGCACGCCCGGAGGGGGGTCCTCTTTACCCCTTTGGAGGCGCCTCAATCACCAGTTCCACTCGCTTCCCCCTGTTCCCGGCCGGCCCCCTCGCGGGGGTGCGGAACCGCGGTACTGAGGGGTCCACACTCACTTCGAGGGGCCAAGCTGCCGGCCCTCGTCTCACTCACACACCACTCGCTCGCCTCCCTCTCCCGCCGCCGGAGATTCTCACCAGTCCGGCGCTCCTCGGTGTCACTGCCCCAAGCTGATCTTCTCTGGTCCTGGTAGCCAGCTGTCCTGCAGGTCCAGGGTAGGCGGCCGTCCCAGTCCTGGTGTCCTCTTCAGGCGTGGCTATCCCGGACGAGTCCCCAAGCTGTCATAAATAGGGCAGGAGATCTTTCTCCTTTTCAATGCCTTTATTAAAGAGATTCAGCTCAGGTGGGGAGAAATCGACGGGTCGCGCCCACGCCGCCGCTGTCCCCAAGAGTGGCACGGAGGAGGAGGGTGATGCAGCTCTGTCCGCTGGTCTGCAGGCAGAGCTGGGGACTGCGTCCTCACGGGAGATTCGCAGATTCCTAATTTTCAGTCCAACACTTCGGGTCCCCTCCTTAGTGAACATCCTTTCAGGTCAGGGTGAGAAGCAAAAAAGATCCAAGCAGGCACTGGACTTCACGCCCATCCTTAGACATCACCTAGGGTCCCCTAATTCTATATTGGTTCGTTGTTTTTAGGGGTTTTCCTGGAAAACGGGAAAATTTTGGAGCGGTGCATTCCTCATCTGCATACGTGGTCCCAGGCCACTCCTATTCTCCTGGGCTGCGTGTCCAGGTGTAGCTCCGGGGCAAGCATTGGGAGGACAATGGCTAAATCACCAACCATTGACGGGCAATTAAAGAACTCTTTAACAATTAAGCTAATTTAACAGCAACTGGTCCCACCGGTTTTTAGCTCTGTAACCTTAAACAAAAATAGATAACTTTTTATTCATGACAGGTCACACCTGTGCCAAGGAGCGCCGAGTCCTCGGCAGGACCCGCAGATGGGCTTGTTTGGCCCAAAGCCCCTGGCTGAGTCAGAAACTCTGACTGCCCTGAGGGAGCACAAAGCCAGAGCAGCTCCCGAGAGCCTGAGGGGGAAAATTGAAACAGTGATCAATATGGATATAGTAATCAATATTTGGAGAAAACAAAATGGTTAAATGGTAAAAAGCTAGGAAAGCAGAGGGGAAGGGTCCGCCCCCCCCTTTATCTTCTGCAGATGTTCTAGGCAGGAAAAGGAGTCAGATAAAGCTTGCTAAAATTAACTGAAAGAGGGGAAACTTGGGTGGAAATCAGAAATATGTTAATTTACGATATTTATTATATTGACTTATCTAAATTTGGTTTTGGCATATATGATATTAGCTTAGTGCGCATGTGTAACCCAAAGGTGAAATAAAGGACACCTGAGGAAGAGGAGCGGCCTTCATCTGGACGACCCCCAAAGAGTGCTGCGACCCCCTAAAAGCTGAAGGTGGAGACACCGGAGTGATGAATGGAAAATAGGAGGAGATGCTGATAATAGACAGTATAAAGGGGGAATTTTGGGCTTGGCAAGCTTGTACGTGAGGTGGCAGGGGTCCCAAGGCCCTCGCGCCCTTGTTTGCTTTGCTTCCCAGATGTGGTTTTGGGTGGGATGGATTCACTTTGGATCCACTTGGTCACATGGGGATTTCTGGGTTAAATGTGTCCTGGCCCCCTCAGTATTTCCCTTATGTAAGCATGATGGAGCTGGGAGCAGGTGGCATGCAGCTGGGCTCTGCTGTCTGCCAGGTGGGTGAAGTCTGTGCTTTCCCAGCTAGGGGCTGCTGCCTGTCCCATTTGTGCCATTGGAGCACCGCAAAGCCGGGACCCAGTCTTTGGATCCATGTTTCACCTTGGGGTGAGGGCTGGCACTGGTCACATGACTGTGAGCACGCCAACTGGGAGATTATATGGCTTTGATTATTTATTTATTTATTTCAGCCTGTGACTAAGATGGGGGAGTATTTGTATGGAGCCACTCCTCCCAGAAATTGCTGTTTATATTTCAGTCTCCTGAGCAGAGTCATATCTGAAGTGCTCATAGTCCAGCAGTGGTATGTGGGCTCTGCTGGCATGTCCTCACATAATCTGGCATTCACGCCGGTGGACACAGTGTGGGCTGGCTGTTTGCTCATTGTTGGGAAGGATGAAAGTTTGACAAGAAAGTCTCACAAATATGTATGCTTGACAGAAAGATTTTTGAATGTAGAAGCTGAGGAAGGAATAGAGATGGAAGTAAATTTTGATATAGAAGAAAAGAATTGCTGAGCCAGTCTCACTGGATAACCAAGGAGGCAAAGGGTATGTTAGTTAGAAGGGGGTTTTTATGACTTAGAGCAAAGGATAAACCCACCTCAAACAAGAAGATGTTTTTACCAAGCAGAAAGATAGCACAGGCAAACAAGTCAGCAAATGTTGCAAGTAGAAAAAAGGTCTCAGAATTTTCCACTGCAAGAAAACTGAAAAACAACTTCTAGCTTAAACTGTAATGTACTAACTTTTAGTGATTGGAGAATAGTAACATGAATATGGTAATTATAGTAGTTGTGATAGGCTATAGATAAAAGCTAAGGTATAGATTGGTTCTATTGTATTAAGATGCTCAGTAAAGAAAAGCATATGATGCATTTGTAACCTAAACTCGGGGTCCCCAGGCCTGCAGCTGCAGCTGACAGCTGTAGGCACAGGCTCTGTCAAAGATCATGCTGGAATAATACCGTTAGTTAAGCAAGAAGGAGATGAGGATAGGAGTCAGAAATCAGTGTCTAAAAGCAGCAAGGTCACTGTGCCCTTGCTGAAACGTGAGGTTGTGGGAGAGGTTCATTAGCTAGCAAGAATGAAGGAAAGATAGTAGAAACCATAACAAGGTGAACACAAGAATGTAAACGTAGACGTAGTTGACTGATAAATGACTAACCAATGATGAGCTCAATTTTTGCAATATGCATTAGCCTTATTAACACTGCTATAAATGTGTGTGCCTATCCAATAAACTTTTGAGGCTTGTTGTTCATCATCTGGTGTGCAAGTCTTCCCTCTCCATCACCAGGGCTCAGTTCTTCTGCATGATTCCTTTTAGCAAATCCAAGGTAAAAAAACGAGTCTGTGTAATTGGAGTGTGCTGACCCTGGCTGGGTCCCAGTGCCCACCAAAGCCACTCTATCCCTTCCCTCAGCTGAACAGGAGAGACAAAATACAAAGAGAACACAGGTCAGGTTGAGGACAGGGGATATGCCTCACCAGTTACTGTTACCAGCACAACAGACTCAACCTGGGGAAATCAATTTAATTTATTACACAGCTCTTCTCCCCAGACTCCACTCCCAGTTTCTCTGCCTCCCTGTGGGACAAGGGGATAGGGAACTGGGGCTGCAGTCAGTTTATCATACCTCGTCACTGCTTCTCCTCCCTCATGGGAAGGACTCCTAGCACTCTTCCCCTGCTCCAGCATGGAGTCCTTCCCACAGGACTCAGTTCTCCACAAGCTCCTGCAGTGCAGGGCCTTCCCAGCTTGATGAAGTGCAGCAGCGTGAGTGCCCTGCAGGATGCATCACAAATCCTGGCAGCACAGGGCACCTTCACCGCGGGCTCTCTGCTGTGGAGAGTTTTGTGCAGGAATGGCTTGATGAGAAAGGACACAGTCAAATTGGCCTGATAAAACTAGATGGGAAAGGAGGCTAATGATATCTTGAAGGACAGGGTGTCCTTCAGGAGGGAAAGTCTCGGTAAGACTGTATCAATAAGTTGCAGAATTAGGGACTGAGAGTTAGCTCTAAAATCACAAAAATGCAGAAGAGACCTTCAGATGATGTAATGACGCAAATAACACATTAACCAATGATGAGCTACAGTTTTGCACTAGACAACTGTAGCAGAACAGTGCCAAGGAAATGCTGATTTTTGTCTGACTGGCTTTCTGCCTCTACTGATGGCAGTTGATTAAAAAGCATTTTTTGCATACAGACAGCAGTTTTCTGCACTTTCTTCCTGCACTTCACTCACATCTCTGTTAACAGTGCTGTGCTTTCATTAGCAATGGGGCAGCAGTAGCCAGTGCCACAAGCCAAGT